GGTACGCATGCTCACTGCACACACACACACACACGCGCACACACACACACACACGTTTATTCCCCGTTCGCTTCCTTCCTCAGCTTCCCTCCCYAAATCCTGCTAGCCACTTCTGTTTTGATTAGGTTTGGGCTTGTCTGGTCCCCAGCAGAAGTCAAAGATGACAAGTCTGTAATAGTGCACTCTGCATGGAGACTTCTTTACTCCAAATTGGCATTCCTACATCATGTTAAATATAAGGAGCAATGAAACACTGATCYCACTTGCTTGACCAGGACTTCCAATTATTCTCAGCAATTGAATAGTTTTTAAATCCTTCCARTAAAAAAATGAAAAAGGTATGCTAGATGAAAGAATGAATACATCCTTGAAAAAGCATGGGATCACATGTRCTCACAATATAAGAAAGTCAGCATTCCATATGTCATACCATGTCCTACTCAGTCCTAGAAAAAGTAGTTCAACTGTGCCTAAAAACTAGGAATTCAAGACACAGGCATCCGATTCATCATTGAAAAGGACAGTTGGTCACATCAAGGGAAAAGACTATTCAGATGCTGCTTATATGTCTCATTTTCCATTCATTCTTCTTTTTATAATCTAAATAGTCTCAATATTTTTTTCTCCTTTTGTTACAGGTACTTGAAACAACAAGAGCAATATTTATAATACACAAATGATAGTGCAGTGCAGAAGAACTCAATGAAAAAGGGTGTTTTCCATTGTTATCAAATCTTGTAGTAACAGTAACTTGTAGCAACAGTAAGAAAGTTCAGATGAAAGTGAAAAATTTCAAGCCAACTACATTCCTTTTAATGAGAAAACAAAATATACCAGCTCCTACATGCTGCTCCTCCCTTCCTTCCTCTTCCCATCTCACAAAAGAGGATCCAAAAGAAGGATCACGCTTAAGGTCCCAGTTCAGAAATCCTGTATCAATCCCTTATTATGGGTAAGAATTCTGGACCACAGACCAGGTCCCAACAAACTCCATCTAAACTAAACAATCTGTCCCACCCTCAAAAACCACATTGTTGAGAAACAGACATAAATTTATAACCCTTGGTAGTTACAAATACATATTTAATTGCAGCTGTTTACATTCAGCACCCTACTGTCCATTATCATCTTTAACATCTGGGCTTCATGCAAAGCAAAGGAAAAGAAATGTGCCTCTAACTTAGTCTGTACAAAATCTGTGAAAAAAAGAATACGCTGCATTTCTGCCTTACTGCCAGCATCCAAAAAACAGTAGTACATATTTCAGTTGTGTACAATTTTCAATGTGCAAAAAATTTTTAACAAACATCATCCTTTTCTGATTCTATGAGAACTTCAGCCCTTCTTAGTTCTTTGCATTGAAGACCTTTTTTTCATATGCAACACAAAAGGTTTCCCTCACTTTACCTTTCCTAAAATTTAATAAGAGGCACTCACACATAACTAGGTCCAGAATTCACATCATAAAAGAGAAGCAAGCTGTATTGTTCATTTCATGGTAACCCACTAACAGCACAAATGACAATATTGAGTCAAATTTAGTAAGGTGCACATTTCTTGGATTTCACAATGTAAAAAAAGGACTAACACTGCTACTCTTCCATTTTTTTACAAAAGAAGTCGAGTGCATTTGGCACATTGCTGCATTGAGCATGGTTTGTGTTAAAAAAAATTAAATAGTTTTTAAAACTCATAATTTTTATATGACCCTGAATGACTCAAACACGTGACTTAAAGATACAACCTGTATCAGAATAAAGCTACAAAGGAAAAGAGCATGGATGTGTGTAAGCATACCAAATTACACTGCAGACACACAGATGTACATACATAATGGCTGACGTGTTTCTACCTTAAATAATGAATCCAGCTCTACAAACCTCATTATCAGGAGGGTAACAACAGTCTGAAGGTAGCTCAGAGAAGAACAATCAAAATGATTAACACCAAAGGAGAGGCTTAAAAGGCAGGGTTAAAAACTCAATGCTGCAGCTGTTTGGTGAACAGTACTTTCCTTGGGTGAAGAGAAAGAGAAAGCCAAACAAAAGCATGGTTCTCTAAAATTATATCAATACATACAGTTAGCAAAGCACTGACTTAGGAAAAAATGTGGCTATAATCCACACACAGCTAAGGGGGAACTCCAAGAAGAAAGCAAAATTATTTATTGCAAGCTTAAAAGTCTARGTATAATGAGCCTAAACTATTGCAGGAATTTTGACTTGACATACAGTAAGTTTTTGCTTGTAGCAAGATCCCTTAAACCGGGCATAACCTCACCCAAAAAAAAAGGTAAAATAAGAAAGTAAAAATACTGTTGCAAGGTTCAACCTAGCTTTGACAGTACTCTAAGTAAATTAGAAGCTTCTCTCCCCTGCTCAGACTGCCTAATTCTATAAAATTATGCTAGCAGCTACAAACACTGCGGAATGAATGAATGAATGCAACACTTAAATGATTAAGTGTTTTCAAAGCAATTTTGAATAGTAGTATTTTGTTTCAACAGATTAATAAATTAATATCTCTACCTTGAAAAGAACCCTTCACATAACAAAAATTTTCAAATTAATGTAATTAATAGGAACAGGATCCAATCACTGCTCAGGCAACAGACTGTTGTACAAGCAGCACTTTAAATAACATAACAGATTTAAAGATGTTTTTATGCTCTGGTCATAGAGATAACACTTTAAATAACATGACAGATTTAAAGATGTTTTTATGCTCTGATAGAACTGGTCAGCTAGTTAGCTAACATAAAGCATTCTATGAAGCAATATCAATTATCTAAGATGTACTCTGAAACACAATAGACAGTGGTTCTCCCATTATATTACACAGAAAAATGATGGAGAGAAGATACATGTCACCATGAAGTTTACACACACACCTTAGATTTCACCAGAAAGAAAATGATAAGAAACATTTTCTTTGCTGCAAGAGTAATTCATTGCAGAATGCTAATAACYGCACTCAGTAAGATGTACCTCTAAGTAAACTCAAAAGGACTGAGGCAAACATGCAATGAAACATGGTATTTTTAACTGCATTTTACACTGTGGTATGTCTTAGAAATCCAAGAGTATGGATAAGTTGTAGATTATTAAACTGTAATAAACAAACYTGTCTAACATTTCCATTTTGTCCCCCTCCCTTAGGTGACACAACTCAATAGAGACTTCCAAATTTACTACTACTTTATTATTTTCTATGACTACTTTCCATTATGAAACCAAAAACCTTGTCTAGTATTACTTAAATGTATCAAGTTATCACGCAGTTCAATAGTTCTCTATTTCCACAGCTCTAAGAATATCTTTGTTTCCAAATGTGTTTTTTATTAACATCACTGCTATGTCACAAATATTTGTCTTCCACTATTCAAGAAGCAAAAAAAGGACATACATTAACCCAAAATTACATTAAGAAAAAGGGGGTTTTATCTTTAAAGTAAATTTATAAAACTRTAAAGAGCAACTTCATAACTTAAAAAGATACAAAGAAGAGAAGGGGGAAAAGGAGGAAGGCTGCTCCTTCTTTGATAAGTGTTTCATTCATTCAATTCTRAAGAGAAAGAGCAGCAGCAAAGAGGGGGCAGCTTATTTGCCAGTACAAAGCAGGAAGTGTAGGAATTTAGTGAGTTCACTACTGGATTCTTTGCTTTGTAGATAATTCCAAAAGCAAGCAGCTATATGGAAGYGCAGGCCCTTAGGTGCAAGGGCTCACATGTGAGCCAGCAAGACCAGAAATGCACCCCACCACACACTGCAAGGCAACATGCCACAGCAGCAGCTCCTTCAGAAGCTTCAGCCCCCTTTTTATTAACCTAATCAAAGGTGCATGCTTTAAAAAAGCCTGATGGAAGTTACTGCGGGATAAARCCGGGCCACCAAATGCAACATTAAAAGGGAGTCACTATTTAATCATGGAACACCCCCTTCCCCGTCATTGCAAACGTCATAGAAAATGGACAACCACGTAAGAAGATGCCATTAGCCTCCCTAACATGGCCCTAGCCAACCCCAAAATGGTCTCTTTACCTGATATCTCTCTTCTGTTCTCTGACCAGGGAGAAAATGGGTGAAATTCAAAATAGCATTGTTGCAATGGTAACTTACAGAAGGACCAGGGAAGGTCTACTCACGCTCCTTCTTCATAAACTCCAGTTTATCTCGATAAAGTCCCCTTATCATTTTGTACCTATTTTGCATCCAAATCTCCTTTCCGTGAAGGCATGCATACAAGTTGCCATGTTCAAAACACAAAACCATCCATGCTGCTGTGTTTAGAAATAAAACCATGGACCGTACACCCCTGTGTCCCTAACAGCCTTACAGAGACACTGCTTTTGGTCTGAATACTTAATCATTACTTTTTTTTTTCTCCCTAGAAAGGAATAATTAAAACTCAACCAACCAAACCACATACACGCTTCAGAGTATCACCACAGGGACACTCTCAGGTCTGAATTACTGCAAAATAACAGTATAATTATGTCTAAATTTCACTAACTAATCTCAGATGAGCTTTTAAAAAGTAATTCGACGTTTACAAGTAAACCGTTTAAAACCGTACTCAAATGTAATCTGAATGAAACCSGACATTTATTTATCCTTTTCCAGCTTAATTTTAAACAGTTTTCAAGGGAAGACATATCTACTCTTGATCAGTCTGGTGACAAATGATAAACCTTGTTAAAAAGTGTGACATTTGAAAATAAATAAAAACCACAGGAGACTTTTCTAACCAAGGAGGAAGATAGGAAGAAACATTATCCCCCTGCACAAATCACCAGCCACAGAAACTAAGCWCAATCTAACGACCTTATTTACTCAAATTGTACACTGCCAACAAAACCACTACCTAAGGCAACTCTTTAACTACAGATGTACTTAAATACCTAGAAAAAATAGGTTWCTTCTCTTCACATAAAATCGGAGTCCCACTGAGCTCAACCAAATGTGGCTGAGGCTGAGATGGAAGACAAAAACGGGTCTTACTTGGTGTACAAAGACATCAACTGGAGACTCCAAGGGGCTTCCTTCTCGGTTGCTCATGGAGATGAACCCGAATCCCATTCTCACATTGAACCATTTGCAATGGCCGGTTCCGTGCAAAACCTGGGATTCCTCCTCTTCTTCCTGCTCCGGCAACTTCCCGGGTTCGTCTCCACCTTTACTCGCCCCTGCTGAGGAAGAGGGAAAGGCGGGGGGTGTGGGGGGGAAGGGGGGAGAAAAAGAAGGAAGAGAGGGACAAGATGCAAAGCGAAGAGTTAAATTGTGGTAACATCCTTTTGCCGCTGCATAAAGGAGTTACTACAAACGGAACAGGGAAAAAAAAAAAGGGGGGGGGGACGAACAAAACAAAATTAAAAAGCAGACGGCGAAAAGTGAGTATTTTTCCTAAATCATAAAATAAACAAACTTTTCCCCAAAATGCGTAAAAAAATAAAATCACCGGAGGTTACAGAGAGGAAACACTGCGCACGGAGGCTCTCCCTCTCTTTGAGCCCAGGGCAGCCCACGTTTCTGTACATACGTGTATTTTTCCATTTAACTCCATCTTTCAGCCACATTACAGCACGGAACGCGATACTTTACTTGAATATTGCTGGTTTAAGACCGATCCCATTTCTCAACAGGAATTCTCAGCCCAATTAGTCTCTCCTCGCAAGGCGCAGGACCGGGGGGGCGAGGGGGGAGGCCGGCCGAGGAGGGGTGGAGGAGAGAGAATAAGCAAAATTGGGTAGATTGCACAACTGGTTATTGCACATGCAGCGCCGAAACCACTATTTTCCACCGTGTATCCATCCCTCCTTGGAATAAACTTTCGATTAAAGTTGGGACAGGTGTACGGCCGTTTTCTCATCCCACCACTGCAACTGTGCTTAATCAAACAGGAACAATTCAAACAATAGCCCCCTGAAAGCTTTTCAAGTTGTGAATCGGTGTGGGCGGTACGGAACAGTTTTTGAGCTGGGTAACAATGGGTTTGGAGAAAGCCCCCTTGCGCGAGCTGCTAAAAAAGGGTAATGCATAGTTGGGTTAAAAAGGGGTGGGGGGAGGGGGGAGAGGGGGAGAGAGCGAGCGAGCGAAAATCATAGTAAAACAATAGAAAAAGAAAATTAACCTTCGGCCATGTTGCCCCACGGGCCCTCTGCTCCAAACTCGTGAGATGAAAACTTTCCCTGTGGATCGAAGTGGTCTTCTGCATTAATCTAACATCCTGATTTTGAACGATCGCAAATTTAGCTCGCATGGTCTAATGTGCTTTCCCTCTTTTGATTTTTCCCCGTCTCTCTCGCTCCGTTTCTGGCCCCCTGCGCACACGTGACTCGGTCAATTACATGCTTTCTTGCTACTAATTTCGCATCGGATCCTTAAGGGGTTGGCAGGAGGCAGGAGCAGCCAATCGCCATTTCAAGTAGCCTGACACACCAAAATAATTTATGAATGAACAAGAAATTTCCAACACGGCGCTTTTTTTTTTTTCTCCCCCCTTCCTTTTCGGACAGCTAATCTGCACGCTTCTTTACGGGAAATCGAGATGACGTATTATTCTGGGGTTTCTGCCCTCCCGTGCGCGCACAAATCCGTAGGAAGATCCGTGTGTTTCTCGATGCAGCCCACTGAACAACAGCTGCGTGCAGGGGCGGCCGCGCACAGGAGATTGCGGGGTATCTGTGCCCGCTGCAGGCGGGCTCCGCGTACGCGCACCGCGGCGAGATGCTCACGGACGAGGGACACACGTGTGTGCAGACACGCACGGCGAGCGCCCGGAGGCATCTGTGGCACCCTCCGCGCACAACGCGGGCAGATGCACRACTGGATCGTTACTCATTTCGCATTCAAATTAAAAGCGCGCCGGAAACGCGATATCACCTTAATATGGCCCAGAATGTGCGGAGGTCTAGCGTTTCACAACATTTCTGGAGGGGGGGGATGGGGCGAGGAATTCACAGGTTTCTCCGCCATCTCTTTCCGGGGGAGGGGATGTGATTAATGACTTCCTAAATAAGAGCCCAGTTTTCAAGCCGAGAATTGGAGTGAACCTCAATCAGCAGTTGGGAGAGGAATGACAGAGAGAGGGATTTACTGGGGAACAGGCGGGCGGAAAAAAAAAAAAAAAAAGCCTCCGGTGAAGAAGACAAAGAGGGGAGAAATAATGCTGACCAAGGACTGCCGTTTTAAGTCTTCACTGCCAGCAGGACAGGGAATCCAATTCGGAAAAGACATGTGTGATGTGTAACGGGCTTGGTAACAGCCCCTTCGCTAAGGCACTCCCCTTCCGCGCTCACAGGTACACAGCTGTGGCCCTGCCCTCCAGCCCTCCCCTTTGCTGTACTCACAGCCAAATACTTAAAAAATTATATTTTAGAAACGTGAAAACCAAGCAATAATTTTATTTCCCATATGTCCATCGCATGTAGTGTAAAGGTACAGACAAAAGTATTCTGTCCTCGTCACCACCTACTCGCATTACCCTCGCTTTCCATCCGGTATTATATATATATATATATATATATATATATATATATATATATATGTCCTTTAAACGTTGCCCATACCTTGTTAAAACCTGAACTCTGACTTTCTTATTAACCTCCTCTCTCCTCCCCCCAGCATCCTCTCTTATCCCAAGGACACACAAACAAAAGCCAAGCCAACAAACTGATCCGTGCAGAACCTGAATGCAAGGGGCTTATGCATTTGCAAAGCACTTGCTGTTGTTTGGGAAGTGGCGTCGATCAGTCTGCCCAATTAAGGGGAACGCCTTTGCCCCCATGGGCCTGTTTACTCCTTTTGTTGCCTTTCAGGAAAGCGTCAATTCCCCCGCTAGCGCCTCATTTCTGTGTGAAACACCAAGCTGGAGGCTCCGTGTGATCGTTTGCAAGAAAAGAAGCGAGGGTGGGCAAGAGTGTACAAATACAAGCACCCTGGCAAGTGGAGCAGAAGCTTTAAATCCTGAAATTCCTTTGCAGTCTTCAACCGTAAATTTCCTATAGGTTATTTCAACAGTGAGGTCGACTTCCTACACTGACCTGCCTTACGCATTCGTGCAACATACCACTGCTTTTGGCTCATAACCTCCCTTCCCCCCTTACAATAGCGATTATTTTACAATATTAAATCACCAGTAATTTTATATGCTTGGATCTTATGACCGGGACGATATCTAATATATAGTAAACGTACGAGATTTTAAAACACGTGAAAACCTCAAGTAATGAACAAGATATTAAGGTTACCGAGAGAAAACAACAATTACACCACTTACTTGAAGTGCCAAGACTACATTTCTTGTGGTAGAATGGCTTATTTATAAAATACAAAATCTCTCTGCCCCTCCCTTCGAAAAGACAGAAAATACCCTTTTGATAAAGTTTTAAAAGTCTTCTTTTTTAAATATTGACTATTTTACCGACATTTGGTATTAAAAATCCTTAGAGGCTAGAATATTGGTTGAACAGTCACAAACGTGTTGACTGAGTTCATTAAATGGACAAAAGGTCTTGATACCAAATTGCAGTGAAAAGAAAATTCAGTATAGTATGTTCTTCGATTAATAAATGAAAGACTGCAAAGCCACATAAATAAATGAATGCAAATGTGTTGGTAGCAAAGTTTTTCTTATGTTGCAAAATAAGTGCAGATTTTGTAAAATGGAGAGGGGGTGGGATTTGCAATGGGTCTTTACTGAGATTTTCAGGCCTCCAGTATTAGTGGAATTAAGGTTGGGGTCACTGGACTGGTCACTGGTGTCAGATGTTATCGACTCATTCATTTCCTGCAAGGGACATCAGCCTTTCAAGTTTTGTGGAAGGTAGAGAGCTGTTGCCAGCTGGGAACTCTCCGGGAAAAAGAAAAAAAAAATACCCCAACCAACACCCTTCCAAAATTCATTCTCAAAGAAGGGGGAGGGGGGGAAGAGGAGAAAAAAAAAAAAAGAAAAAGCCCCTCTGCAAGAAGCCACTTCGTGGAAAAAAATAGTTTAATGATAAGAGTTTACATTTAACAGAAATAT